ACTGATGGTGGTCAGAGGGTCTGATGGCGCCGATGCATGGCAGCCCCACCTCTGTCAGTGCGCCCCAGGGCAGCTGTGGCTACAGTGTAGCTTAGCACCATCAGTGTGTGAATGAAGTGTAAAACACTTTGGAGTCCATGTGGACTTGATAAGGAGCTATATGAGTTCAAACCATTTAACATTTACATTGCCTGAATAAAGTCTACACTTATACATAAACTTTTCCACATTTAGTTAGTATACATCAAACTTTAAAGTATTTTACTGTGTTTTTATGTGACACATCACCAAATAGTGCATCATTGTGAAGTGGAAGGAAAATAACTAAATAGATATAAATATGTTTATACTTGATCCAGTGATATTACAGCATTATTAGGGAGATTTAACTTATTAAACTCATGCTATATACTGAGATGATCAAATAAAAATATATTTTGTCTTTTTGTTTCTTATTTAATCATTTGAGGAACTCAAATCTGCCTTTCTTTAAACTGGACTGAATTAGTTACAGTAATCCACCCTGATGCTAAAAACTACAGAAAGGATCATTATGTGCTGTGATTTAAACAAATGTTTCACATAAGTGTGTTCACAAATAACCTGTGATCTTTGTACCACTGCAGTCAGGAGGAAGGAACACGAACCTTCCTGAGTTTAAAACTCTAATAAAAAAGGATTGTTTTGGAGCAGACTTGTGTTCAGGTGCAGCAGGAGTGTTTGAGGTGAYGATGCAGAGCTGAGCTTCAACTGAGCTTTGATAAAACCAACCTGTTTTCTAAAGAGAGCTTTCACGCTCCACTTTGAGCTGAACAMCACATCTGTCTGCTCTCCTGTTCACCACAGCTTTGAGCCACAGCTGGAACTGTGGAGCTACAAAGTTCTGACTCCGAGTGCAAACCCACAGCACACGTTTCAGAGTTTTGTTATTTTCCACGTCACTGTTATGAACCAATTTGTGTTGGAATATCAGAAGACAACACTTTGTGACAAGATGTTAAAACCTTCAAATGGGATTAAAATTGGATTTCTTTTGTTTGAAAATCATGATATGTGACCCATCATATTGAAATGAGGATTAAGTCAAATTTGGTTAAAATGATCTAACTACGTTTTTATACAGCGGGTAAAATAAGTATACCTGGCCATCATTTGGGACTGAACCAGCTGATATTAACTTGCACTGACAAGGGGCAGGCTTGCTTTCTAATTACTGAGAGAGTTCAGC